AAAACACTAATACAATAATAATTATTTAACATTAAAAATACAGAACTATTTAAGTGAAAAGGCTTTCTTAAAAAGCCAAGTTTTAATTTCCTTTTTAAAAATACAAATTGATTTGGCTCCACGGACGTTCTCGGGGATAGAGTTCCATAGCTCAGGAGCTGCAAAAGAAAAAGATCTTCTGCCATAAAATTTAAGGTTAAAAGATGGTTTAAACAGCAAGTTGGCCGATGAAGATCTTAAAAAACGTGAGGGTTTATAAGGCTCGATAAGATTAGAAAGATAAGAAGGAGAAGTTCCATTAAGAATCTTAAAGGTAATTAAAAGAATTTTATAATCAATGCGTTGCTCTACAGGCAACCAATGTAAGTTGTAAAGAATAGGCGAGATGTGGTCGCATTTGCGGGTAAAAGAAATTAATCTTGCTGCCGCATTCTGCACGCGTTGTAGCTTGCTTATAGAGGACTTTGGAAGACCATAGAGCAAAGAATTACAGAAATCTAATTTAGAGGAGATAAAAGCATGCACAAGTGTTTCACACGCACTGACACTGAGCCATTTGCGTATTTTCCAAATATTGTGAATGTGGAAAAAGCATGATTTACATACTGCTGTTATATGGCATTCTAACGAAAGTTTTTTGTCAAAAATTACCCCAATATTTCGTGCAGAAGAAGATGATAAAATGTCAAAGCCAAGAATATTAAGTGACACTTCTGATGAGAAAGGGCGATGTGCAGCTGAAAGTACCACTAGTTCAGTTTTATCACCGTTAAGTTTAAGCTTGTTTTTAATCATCCATAAATCAATATCTTTGACACAGGCCTCAACCTTGGATTTTGCTGCTGTCATTTCACATAAAGATGTTGTAGAGAAAGAAATATATAATTGTGTATCATCTGCATACAGATGATAGCCCAGCTCATGCTGATGAATTATATCTGCTATGGGTGAAACATATAATGAAAATAAGATTGGTCCTAGAATTGATCCCTGAGGAACACCACAATCAAAAGGCCGAGAAGAAGATTTGCCTTCCGGGACACTGACATAAAATTGCCTATTACTAAGATAGGATTTGAACCACTCAAGAGCTAAGTCTCGAACTCCAAAAGATGTATATAGCCGATTTAAAAGAATATCATGGTCAACAGTGTCAAAAGCAGCAGAGAGGTCAAGAAGGACAAGAAAAACTGATTTGTTCTTATCAATTTCAAGCAAGATATCATTGTGCACTTTTAGAAGGGCAGTTTCCACGCTGTGGTTTTTCTTATATGCAGATTGCAATGGCACATGAAGGTTATTTTTCTCAAGATGTTGAATCAGCTGTTGCGCAACCACTTTTTCAATAGTCTTTGACAAGAAATTTAAATTAGAGATTGGTCGAAAACTAGAAAATTCTTCAGTTGTTAAATTCGGCTTTTTAAGGAGGGGCTTAATCACAGAAAGTTTTAGCATTGAAGGCATTGACGCTTTCACTAAAGAAAGATTGACAATCTTAGAAATGACAGGAGACAAATGGTTTGCAACCAATTTTAGAAATTTGCCAGGAACAGGATCAAGCTCGCAAGATTTTGACACCAAAGGAAAAATATGTTTAGAGAGATCCTCAAGATGAATTTCAGAAAAAGATGTGAGATAATCATTTAGAATGACACATTCACTAGGCAGAGTATAATGGATATCCCCAAGATTATTTTGTATATTAATAATCTTGTCAACAAAGAAATCAGCAAAACTATTTGCAAGATGGTTTGGCGAAACAGCAGATGGAAAATGTTTCGCACTCTTTTTGTGTGTCATTTTTTCAAAAGTAGAAAAAAGAGTTTTTTGGTTTGACTGATGCTCCTGGATAATCTTTGAGTAGTAGCCATTTTTAGAAGATTTTAAAAGATTTTTGACAATATTACATTGTTCAACATATAATTCTCTATCAACAGTCAAGTGAGAGCGACGCCATCTTTTCTCAAGTTTCCTACGCTTAGCTTTTTCAGTCCTTATTTCTGATGTATACCAGGGATTGTGAGGACGCAGAGAAACTATACGGTTTTTAGATGGAGCATGAGAATTTAGGACAGAAGTGAGTGTAGAATCATACTGGTTAAGTAAGCTATGTAGATCATCATTAGGAGATATGACCAGAGAAGAATTTGAGWTGTCATGAAWAATAGCATYAGAATTTATTGCCTTCATGTTACGGCTTTTTGTCACAATTTTTCATTCATATAGTATAAAGGGATAATAAAGAGTAAGCGTTTGCTGATATTACGRTGTATTTTTATTTTCAAACATGAACAAAAGCTCGAAAGGGATCATCTGGTGGACCTTTAAGAAACTATGCACTATGAAAACTATGAAAATTTAGGGCTGAAATGGTTCCTAGCCTCAATAGTGCCCAAAATATTCACAAATTTAAATAAAACTCGTGAAATTTCAAAGTATGTCCATTGCCTTTTATGCTCACGGTTCTCTTGCATTTGCACGGACTGTCAGTGAATAAAAGAATTTATTACATGGTTTTGAGGCGAACACAGCGCAAAAGAGATCGCTAGAATAGTTGTATTTCTTGCGACCCAACAAAGCGCTTAAATACGCGCGTTTGTGTGTGTGTTTTTTATAAATCTTTATTTTTGCACAAATTCGTRTGTTGTTTTGCTGTATTCGGAAAAAGGTGATAACTTACCCGTTAAGGTAATCAGGGAATTCGTGCCAGTTAATGGTTTTGCCACTTGTTTTTGAACTGGAAGGATCTCTATCAGTAAACAGCAAMTCGTTCAAAACYTTGCTACTTCTCCACCCTTTGTCTCTATAGCAACCAACTTTGGCAACCTGTACTGGGCATGCGTTGCTGCTGTCCATCATTAGTGGTTGTTCTGGTTCAAGAATAAAGAAGTTAATATGTTACCGCGCGGGATACCTGTGTTTTAGACTCGTTTTCATTTTTTAAATACATGCCAGGCCGCTAAGATGAATTTTGGGTGAATACCTGATTCTGTTAAATCCCTTAGACGTCTCTCCAGCTCATTGTCGTCCTTGGTTACCCCCCTTGCTCTAGTTTGGTAAAGAACCAAGGTAATAATAGCRAGAAAGAGAACTTGTTTCATTGTAACACAACCTGCAAGGGTCAACAAAATYATTATAATTATAGTTAATGTAATAATAATGATAACAATAAAAGTTGCTTTGCCCGCAAAAAGTGGTTTTATGTATTTATTAGTATTATCATTTGCAAATGAAAACCTGACATGTGTTGTAACCATGTAATCTTTCAGTAATTTTCCACGTGAGATTTAAAGGAATGATTTCCAAGCCTTTTATAGCATCATTAGACGATATCTTGGTGTGAGTATTGAGAAAAATGAATAATAAAATCGGGCATGTAATCGGCAGAGACAATTATCAGCAGCTAGCCGCTATAGGAACTGACTCCCAAGCCCTATATAGCATCATTGGACGATATCTTCGTGCGAGAATGGAAAA